TAATGTTTCTGTTTCATAGTTATTGCTCCTAAGAGCAACATTAAGTGTTTTAGGGTTGTTAGTTTTAGACTTTTATGGTTCTGTTATGAGCTGTAACCAACTCCCTTTTCTGTTTCATGGAACCCTATATAAATAGGGATTCCAGCCCTTTTGTAAGATGATGAAGAGATCAATACACATATACAGAATACAATAAACTTTTACTTACCTCCGATTATCAACTCTTCTTTTCTTCTTCTTTAATCTTCTTCTTCTCTCCCAACGGACAGCCATTGGAGCAGCTCCATCATCATCTCGCTTGTGCACTGCATCAGAGAAGCCTTCTGCTTTTTCTTTCCTTGCGTGCACATCCAGTTTCAGACACGCAATGCTTTCTGACCAAAGGAAGCTTCTAGGAGAAGCTGATGTTTTCATTATTGAAGGCCAGAGAGTATTGGGCCTCAGCCTTTCTTGATTTGGGCCTGTTTTAATATGAGGAAAGGAAAGGAGAAAGGAGCAGTGGGAAGAAGACAAGGGGGAAGTTGTAAGGAGGCGATGGAGATAAAAGGATGCTAGGTGTTAGAAACTGATCTTGGTCTCATGTCACACAAACTAACCTTAAATAGGATCTATTTGTGTTTATTCAGATAAAGGCTAAATTCAATCAGAAAAAAAAGGGGCAATTCATGTTAATGTATATAGTTATTATTAGTTGTTATTTGTCTATTTCAGGAAATGATAATCAAACTATTACCTCGTATAATAAGAGGTTTGTACTGTGACAAAAAAAAAAAACAGAGCATTAGATTGACTGCAAAGAGTCCTAGAATGAGGTCATCATCAAAATATTTGTCTGTTTTGTTACAATATCAAAAATTTATTGTTTGCCGAGGCAATTTCTTTTTTAATTTGCCAAACATTTGATATTAGAGCTTCTCATGACATGGTGGCGACAAGTTCAAACACACGATGAAGCCATCTTCAACAGGTATAATTGGTAATTGTCAAGTTTTGTGGAAGAAAAAGTTTTGCTACGTGGAAAGACTTGATTGAATTTTGTTTAGACAGCAACAGTTATGAAGTGATGCTTTTTGGTAGTTGATGGTTGAGATTATACATAAATGTTTTATTGAACAAACAAAAGGAGAACAATCCAAAGTTGGCAAACTAGTAGATGAAGATAGTATAGTTTGGAAAAAGCTTTGTTTTTTAATCTGGCATTCTGTGAAGCTATTCTTGAAACAAAAATTGCAGTCCGAAACGACAAATTTAGCTTGGAAAATTTTGCTCAAAACATACGAAGGCGCATATCAACAGAGTTCAACTAGAAAGCGTCTCAGGGGATAGTAAAAGAGTAAAGGGAAGATAGCGTCCCATCCATCACCAAAGGCAAACAAAACATCATAATGAAGAAATGTTTTAGAGACGTGTCTGACAAGAGTAAGAGGCAAAATATTTACCCAAAAAGGGAGAGGAAAAGGAAAATAAAGATTCAAATCTTCTTCAATTACAAATAACATAAACATTATTTTTCCTTAGGATTTTGAAGAATTAATATGTTTCAGCATAGCCTTGGAAGATTCATTGGCAAAGTGTTTCTGCCTAATCATCACATAAGGGTATCCAAGAAATGATAAAATGTGGGCAGGTTTAGAGAAAGAAAGCACTTCGTACCAAACCTGATTGTTCTCATCTATCTCCACTGAAAAGCGCTCTTCCCCTGCCTGTGGCCAAAAGGATCACACATTTAAAATAATCATGGCTTGTTTGCCAAAAGGATTCATATACAAGGTACCAATCAAGGTAAGAGAAAGTTATTGAAAACATTTCTGCATTAACATACTAAAACTATTTAGTTTCCCCATATTTCATAGAAGTAAATATACAATCAAGCCCGAGACAAACTTATTGAAAGAAAAATGTTTATTACAGTAGTAAGGAATAGGACGGAGTTTGCTATGTTTTCTCTCACAAAACATCATTAAATATATGTAAAATGAAGACTGCAGAAAGAAACATGCTACATGGTAACGTGATTGTAGGTTACTAAATTATACCATAGCTCAAGTGACTATCCCGTTAGATATTCTGAATTTCTTAGAATGAATAACAAAACTTAAGCAACTTCCTTAAACCTTTTTCAGAGGCAAATGATAGCCAGAACACGTAGACATGTAAAACCAGTAACTTAAAAAAAAAATCAGTGAAAGTTGAATTTTACAAAGAATTATATGCGGAAGGACATTTATACATCCTATGACAGGGACATGGGCGCAGTGAAGTGACCATAACCACAAATTTTACTTGGAAGTGTAAAGTGTTCCTTATATATCATTATGCAATTGCAAAGTATATGCATATATGCATATACAAACTCTGAAACAGAGAACTTAAATTGTCTTCTACAAGAATATAAATGTATCAAAAAACACCAACTTAAATCAAGGTATTATATCTAAACAAACTTAAATAAAAAAATAACTTAAAAAGTATATCTAAAGGCCCAAGATAAAAATAGTAAGAGGAAAAGAAAAGCAGCAAGACTGACGAAAAAGCAGTTACCAGCAGGTGACCATGAAGAGTGCCACTTCCGAAAGCAAAGGAGGCCCGGCGGTTTTTGGCTTTTCGAGTTTCATTTACGTACACAACCTGAAGTGGCATCGTGAGCCACGGAAAGAACTCCTTGACACAAACACAGAATTTCACTCCTTGTTGAACTGGTGTTTTCGGATCAACAAATGCCCAATTCAATCCAAAATGCCTGCAAGCAATTTTCCCACAATAAACCCATGTAAACACACGCATAAAAGAAGAAACAAACTTCCAAAAAATGAGAAAATTGAGGTCACCCACTTCAAAAACTTAAGCAGATTAAAACCACAATACACCTTTATTTGCTTATTCATATATGAACATACCTCCAACTTTTGAGGGCATTCTTGCCTTTTTCAAAAGTCTCAATACCAGAACCAACCAGAACTCGTGCCTCATTCAGTAAAAATCCATCTTTGGACAGCCCCACGTCTGCTTTAAGGGAAGACAGTGATTTAGCAGTAGCCCCTTTATATTTGTCATCATAGTTGAAACTACCGGACCTGGTAACATGGCAAAACGTAATAAGCCACATATAAATGCACTTGGAAACGGGTATTCCAATTTTCCAGTAAAAAAGCTAAAGCAGGTGTTATTTACTTGTTGATGCAAGCTTTTTGGTCTTGGTGAGAGGGGCGACCCCAACTCAAGAAAAACATCTCTATTACGCATTTTCACAAACATGTCGTGGGATAACAATAACGCGAAGCAAACCAACGTTAGAACCACAATAAGCAGTAAAGGAAGAAGAGAATAATCTTTTCTGAAAACGGGAAATGGTAGCGATTATTCCATGAATTGAGAGATTGGAGATACCAGACGTTGAGCAAGTAGCAGCCACCAGTTGCGTGTCTCAGTTGGGATATGGATACGATCATCAACGAACTACCGCGACATTCATCTACCTACTGTGAAACGTTATAAATTCTTGCTAAATTGTGGTTCATAAATTATGATACGAAAATAGATTCATAAATTATGATATCAAAATACACTAGGATCCATTTAATTTTAAGATTGTACGATTAAATGGAATCACTTTCTCATCATAATTTTAACCTTGTAAGATTGAGAGTTTAGATTAATTAAGTGATAGGTATATGTAATATAATTAATAATTATTTAATAATAATTAGTTAACAGTGGAATTAGTGACATGTTTCAAAACATATTTCTTATGCTTTTAATTTTCTGTAATTATGTTAAATTAAAAATTAATTAATACTATTAACAAGTAAAACTATTATTGTTTTGTATATTAATTATTCATATTTAAATTAATAAATGTTAATAATTTTTAAATTAACAATATTTTCAAAAATAATTGTTAATATTATTGTAAACTCGAGTAGATACACTGCATTTAAATAGTTTATTTGTAACAATTAATATTTAGTATTAAATAAAACATAATAATAAAATTGATGAAACAAAACATGTTTATCTCAAAATATAAATATATGATATTAGTGTAGTTATCATAAGTAAATAACAGTAATATTAAAATATACATAAAACAACAACAGAAGATGACTAGCTAGCTGAAAATATAAATAGTATAAAAATATCTAATATCATGTTTCATTACACAACTTTCATACATGTATACATGAAATCATACTTTTTTAGACTCAATTTATCTTGACACGTGTCATTAAGTCATACTAATGAAGTCATACACTTGCGGTGACAAAAAAATATTGTTCTAGTAAGCTACTTTATCGAGCTAACACACACAAGGTTAGTTCATGTCACAGTCATAAGAACCCTAAGGTCATCCTTATGACAAGACTTCCTATCACTCTCACCACCTAATCATTCTCCTCTACATGATTATGAATTATTAGTAAAGCTCAAAATGACTATATAAAATGGAACAATCCTTATCTCAATGCATATCCAAATCAAACACATTCAATGGGATTTCCTGTCTCGAAATGTCCTACAATTCATCAAATTCATACTAGTATTTCACTTTAAAAACCAGATACAACATTTACCACACATGTTCACAACAATATTATCACTCAATAAAACACCATAATAGTCTTAAACATACATAAAATCCTTGATAAATCTATCTTAAACAAGCCAAAGTAGAAGATAAATCTAACATACAAATCAATGCTTAGAGGTGATACTCAACATCAAACCTTTCGCAAAAGGTGGCGTTCAGCGACAATCGTGGCGTTCAACTCCATTCTTCTCACAAAAAGTGCACTCAACAACACTTTCTGACGCTCAACGTCTTGGAGTTAAAATGCTCTAAACCTAAAGGATGACGATGCTCAGTGATGTCTTGTTATTGCTTAGTGCCAAAACATTCGTAAATATCAAAACTCAGCAAACTGAAGCTAAAATGCCCCCACACTAGCATAATGAACTGATGCTCAATGTCAGTTTGCCACTGTTCAACATTGTATCCGAAATCAGTAAATGAAATTATATGATTTGAGGAAAATAGAACTTGTTCAAATGGTTAAATTGGTATTCCCTTCTTAGTACATTGGACAAAAACAACTTTTAATGTCAGTACACATACCTTGGCTTAATTAAACAGATCTTAAGTTCCTCAATCAACACAAAATCAACCAAGACAATTCAACATGACAAACATCTATTTGACCAAACTCAGCAGATGAATTTCATCATATAACTCAATCATGCAATTATAAATTTCAAGATATCTATAACTTGAAAATAACGTAAACTTCCCTTAGAGGAGAGACAAATGAACTTGCTCTAAGGAATCACAAATCCCTTCAAGCTCACGGGATGTCCTATCTTTACTTAGGAATAACACAAACACTATCTAGACATACTATTAAACTAATCAATAAATACTCGTATGAAAAACCCAAACACTACATGCTAGCCAAAAAGGTTCACATGTAGGGAAAGAACCATCAGAAAATGACTTAAGCTCAACTTACACGAACAAAAAAAATGATCAACCCAAATTGAAGAGTTTGTTGTAAGGATCAATCCTAATAAGATAAGCAAAGAGGTAAAACTCTTTGAAAGAAATAAAAATATACTTAATTTCTAAAAAAATAATATATTTTAAAATAATGAAACTTATTCATGAAACTATTTATGTTAAGACTTTTTAATATTAAAATAATTAAAATTTAACACTGACTTTTGAGAATATGATATAAAGTCACACTAGTAGAAATGTCATTTTATAATGGTTCTGAAGGACTTTTTACAACAACTTTTTTTGGCATCACAATTCTAGATGATATAGTGAGTTCACATTTTTTTTATGGCAGTTAAAAACTTAACCTAATAAGTCAAACTTATTATGAAAAATATTCGAAGACCTGATATAGTAAGTCCAACTTACTATAATAGAGAATGATAAACTTAACTAAGTGTAACTTACTATAACATGTATTCAAAGACTTGACATAGTAAGTACAACTTATTGTGACATGTATTTTAAAATTTGACATAGAAAGTATTATTTACTACTATAATTTAGTTATAATTATCATACCCAAGTGTAGCAAATTATGTTGGTTCAAAATGATTTTCTAAGTCAGTTTTAGAGACAATTCAACATACAAAGTCACATATTTCAGAGCGGGAAATCCTCGAATCTTTATCATATGTATAGGTTTGGCATCTTCACCCCTTCTTAGTTTCCACAATCCCCTTGTTAGATAATTAGGGTAACACCCTAGGAGAGTAGGAAGTAGAGAAGAAACCATGGAAGTAAAATTGACGCTTCCCATTGACGTCTCTAATTGAAATCCTTTCCAGAGAAGCAATAACATTATAGACAAGGTATAGTTCACTGATATGGTAAAATGACAACAATGAGAAGTATTTCAAGTCCTTGTGTTGTTAACAAAACTAGAATTAGAATGGAGAACCTTCAAATGAAACATTGATAATTATAAGAAGATGAATTGAAAAAATTACCTTGAGAATGAGGTGGGGGTTGAACCAAACTTGTTGGATGAGTGGATTGAGGGAATCAAAGAGGGAAGGGCGAAGATAAATGAGAATGTTAGCAACGATAAGGGCAACGGTCACTAGTAGCTTGTGCTCCAACCGGTAGTACTTAATGAAGGTGTGGAGAGCAAGGAGAAGGAACATTCTGCGAAGGCAGAACAACGAGAGTAAGAATTGCGCAGACGAATGTGACAATAAGGAGAAGGAAAGTCTTGACTACGAGAAGCGAAATTGAGCGAGTACCAAGAGAGGGAGAAACAAATGCAAGAGCGAGTAAACTTTGATGCGAAAAGTGACATTGCAATGAAAGGGGAGAAGAAGTGTTGAGGATCAAATAGAGGAAAGTGAAGTGAAGTGTTTCACTTTCTATGTCGATTCTAGGTTTAATCAGCGTAAAAAGTCTCTTATTTTATTACTAAATTGTCATTATGCCAACTTTCTATAGGAGATCTAGGTATAATCAACATTTAAAGTCTTCTATTTAATTAGGAAAATTATCACCACTCTCACTTTTTATGCTACTTATTGGTATAACTTACAAACAATTTTTTTTACTTTATTACAAAATTGTTATATTATCAATTTTTTATATTGATTATAGTAATAACTAGTATACAAAAATCTTATTAAATTTACCATTATGCTACCATGTCTTTATTATGACAGATAAATTGTAACCTAAATAAAAATAAATCATAAAAATTACTTTTGCAATTATAATAGAAGTGACTATTATTTTTTTTTATTTTGCCAATTTTCCTCGCTTTATAATATCACTCACGTCTATAAAACAATGTAGAGACAAAATAATTTCAATAATAAATAAATATAATATCCAACAAAATGTTCTGTCACCTATTGACACCTTTTTCAGTAGTGAAGGTTTATGTACATTTTTTTTATTTTGTTGAAATAAAATTTAGGTCCCTGATTTTTTATATTAATTATCCAATATTTTTTCCTTCAAATTAAATATTAGAAACAGTTTCTTCTTTGATAGAGATGATGGTGAATGCAGATGTACTCGTGCTTGGCTCAGATATTGATAGTGTGGTGTCAGCCTGGTAAAAGGTCCATATGTATAGGCCTTAACTTCTTCTTTAGGCAAATGTTTTTCTTCATTGGAGTTGAGAACAAGCATCCTTTTTGGTTGAATGTCAGAACTAAAATTAGGTTAATTTGTTCTTCCGCAGTAAGGCATCTTATGAGGTCGTCACTTGTTCAAAAGTTCAAAAGGGTTGTGCTAATAACTCTTGGTTTGCTTCTAATACTTGCTTAGTTACCTTCGAAGCATATTAACTGCCATAGATTGTTTACAGTCGCAGACTTTCTCCATTGCTCCAGGTTCTCAAAATGAACTAATTCTGATAAATTCAAGTTAAAGAAAGTCTTACATTTTACAGAAAGGATAGAAAAGTCTCAAATATAATTAAGGTCTCTTTTATATTAGAAAAGCATTGAGATGACTAAATCTGAGAGAAGAATTTGTGACTGTGACACTTTATTTTATTCATGCGAATGCTTAGAACACACACTGGAATCGTCACAAAGAAAATCATGCCGCCACGTTTTCAGTTTCACAACTCTGACATATCCATCACTATAACAGGCACCACTAAAGAAAAAGAAAAAGGTTTTCAAACATGTTTCCCTCAACTCTCCCCTTCCTTTACGTCACTCCCTCACACATTTAAATCCATCACATCATAACTAAGAACTTCACTCCAACCAAAAGAAAACAAGTAAAATGGGTGTGTCGCAAAAATGGTTCAGAATTCTTCGCGGAAGATTCATCAGATCATCCAACAAAGACATCATTCTCCCACGCACAAGTATTTGCACTAACGAATGCGAAGAAGCCATACTCAGGAATGAAGACTTCAGTTTCCCTACACAAACACCAACACATGTTTCTGCAATCACCAAGGAAGATGTTGCGGCCATTAAGATCCAAGCTTTTTTCAGGGGACATCTAGTATGCATTCTTATAATAATATAT